TTTTTTCCCTCCAGATGTACCTTCTTGTGTTTTGTTTTCCTGTTTTGTATATTAAAGCTATCCAGGAACTTTTTCTTGCCTTTCAGAAATCTTTTCCAACTAAAATAATGAAATTGAGTCCTCAATTAGCCTAGATTTTATCACATTTCTGCCTGTAGTTTTTTGCAAAAGTCCTCTGAAAAGACTTTTTTCTTTTCTTTGTCCACGTGTCTTTATTTTACCTCTCCTCATTCCACACGCAAACGTGTCCCTGCACTAGTTTGTTTAAATCTCAGTCTGTTCTAGCCAAGTCTGCAAGGCACAGGGGAATTACTTGTGAAAGGTGCTGAACACGACGGAGCTGCTGCTGCCTTTTGCCTAGCAGCTTTACTGGGAGACCAAAGCCTAGACCTACTTAGTGCTGAGCTGCAATAATGCTCTCCTTTTCCCATTTGCACCAGCCAGGCTAGCCAGAGAAATAGCTTTTGCTGTTGAGGAAATGAAGAGTATGGAGGTCTCTGCTGTGAAAGCAGCTTCATCTCTCCTTTCAAGAGTAAGAAATAAAATGTATTTTAAGTAATATAAATACATCTTAAGTAACAATAACACAGAATTTTATCAAGGTTAATACTGCAGCCTATAGTTCTTCCAACCTAAGGACTGGAATAGCTAATTTGACATTGGTTAAGGCTTCCTGCGTGCTGGGATGCGACGAGATATTCTGTAACCTTCCTGAGCAGCCTTTATTGTCAAGAATTGCTCTGTGGCTGCATCTGTATTGAAAAAGCTTTTGACTTCTACAGGTTTCCAGGTCTGTATATATGTGTTGGTCATACTGTAGTTTGAGGCTCAGAATCAAGACTCAGATACAGAAAAGTTCTCTGTACCCTAGAGTCCAAGGAAAATAACAGTGATATGCCCCACAAGTACTCATCTGGGGCAGTGAGGGGGATCAGGACCCCAAGCTAAATAGCAGAAGACAAGAATAGACCTTAGTAAAGCAGGGATGAAGGTTGTAGAATTAGTCTCATGTCATTAAGGATGCTACTCACTCGCACTGCCAAAACCTCTGCTTTCTCATGAGGATAAAGCAAGTAAATGTGAAAGTATTACCGATGCCCTAAGAGAAGAGGTGGCCAGAGCGCAGCCAGAAGCCCTATATGCAGCAACATCTCAGGGCCAGCCCCTTTCTTGTGAAGAGAGAACCTGACTGCAGTCCTTCAGCAGACCCAAAGGAGGAGCTGAATGGCTCAAGCAGTGTGTCAGAGCAGGATGAGACACTTCCTGAGCCAGCTCTCCATTCTCCCTCTTTAATGCGGATTGCCACACTTCTCCCAGCTGCTGGGCTAGTTTCCTAGAGGGGTGGAAGGTGCTGTCTAGAAGCCTCCTCACTAAACGATGCTGCTGGGAACGGGAAGATACAAAGGGTCTTAGCAATATTGTACACAGTACCCAAGTTTGTTCTTTTGCTGTTTTTTTTTTCTTTCCTCAGTATCTGATCTTAAAATCAGTATGGGAAAATACGAAAGATACAAACCAGTGACTTCTTGTAGCAAGAAGCCAAATCCTGTCTTTTCTATGCAGTGTGAGAAGTCCTCCCAGAGCAAGTTTGTTAAAAACCAGATAAAGTTTTGCAGAAATACTGCTTACTGTACTAATTACACAACCTGGCTCCATCTAATCGTGAAAAGACTCATCGTCCCTGACAATGGGCTAATGTACTCCTAACGTTGCCAGTATTGAACAGTTGTTACACTCTTCCCAATGAGCACTGGGACCTTAAGCGTGATGATATGAAACCTTTAATCATTAAGGAAAACAAGCAGTTTGTCTATGATCTTAGTTTGACAATCCATAAAATAGTGTTTCTCAAATGACAAATTAGCAACTTGGTTACAAAGAGCAAAGTTTAAACAACACAACAGTTGTATGCACAAAGCTACCACGTCTGTTTTTTTAAATCAGGAAAAAAATTTATTTATAAAAACGTCTCGTTTAATTTACTGTTGAGTCTCTAGCTGAATACAGTGGTTTAGAACACTAACAGCCCATGCTTTTATACAGATTAGCCAAAGCATGAACATCAATGGAAATTAACCCCCGAAAATATCTTTGCTTTGCTTTATGTTATGAGCCACAACAGTGTTAAAACTGGAACAGTAATGAAGCAACACAAGAGTTAGGAAGCACAGTTGCTTAAAGAGTAAAAGAAGTATTTTCTTTTGATGTCTCAGAATAATAAGAAAGTTAGAAATGGCAGAAACTCCTCTGTAGATTAGTCCATAGAAAGCATTGTCTCATGGGGCTTTGGAAAAGTCCTGTCTGGTGGCTAATGCACTAGGGCATGATGAGATACATTACAGAGCCCCCAGGCCAGTAACTTCTGAAGACAGCCTAAAACGTAGGAACAAAAATGAGGAAAAGAAAAGGAAGAAGAAAAAAAAAAGGCAAAAAAAAAAAAAGAAAAAAAAATCTTCTCACTATTAAAAAAATAACACTTGAGTACAACCAGCATAGAACAGCATTTCAATGCAGGCAAGTTTTCTCACACAGAGGTTGGTGGTTTGGGTTGTGTGATTTTTTTCAAAATGTCAGTTATTGAAACAGTTACAATAGTCCAGAACAATTTTACAGCAGTTTTCTAGAGCTGTTAAATAGCTGAGGTACCTTGACATTATTTCCAGTTTTTCCTTCATTATATACAAACCAAAAAAAAAAAAAGCAGCCCAAAATGAAAAAGAAAAAAAAAACAAACAAAAAAACCCAACAAAAGCCAAACAACAAAACCAACCAAAAACCCCATTTGGATAAGTGCAAACTGTAACAATGACAGTTCTACAAATGATTACAGTGACAAAACTTAGTGCAAAGGTATTAAGGTGAAGAAAAGCCCACAGAATACAGAAATGACACAAAATACTGAGATAGTACTTAGCCCTATACAATAATAATAACAACACACTTTGAAATACCATGTTTTAAAAAGTATTGCATTTGCATTGTGTTTTTAGTTTATATTAAAATGCACTGAATACAGTTCAATTGTTAAAGCTTTGTGTCCAAGGAGTGCAAAGTGGATGAGCATGGCGGGCTAATGGGATTCTGGAGTTGGAAGTGGTGAGGAAAACAATATTGCATTACTGAGTTATGCAACAGAAATTAAAAAGAAGGTGGATGGACAAACAGAAAATGCAGTTAAAAACTAGTTCCAACAGCTAGCAACCAGCCATCACAGCACCCAGCTCTCTTCGGTTTGGCTGCAATTAGGTGTCTGGTTTTCATTAACCTGAACGTCGTTAAGTTCTTGTTAAAGGGATGTTGTCTGTCCGGGCAGCAACCTTTCAATGTCCTTTGATGAGCACTAGATTTTTTTTTTTTGTAGTTACAGTACAATCTGATTGCACTATTAGGGGTGAGCTAAATAGGAACGTATTTAGAGAAACCTAACAAAAAACGGTCGTTTTGGCTAAACAAAATCTCTGCGGGAGCGGGTACCAGGACAGTCTGTGCATGTCTGAGTTGTACTTACTAGTAAGTACTTACTGAAACAAGTACTTTGTCGGTATAAGTAAGAGTAAAACATCTGGGTGGAAAAAAAAAAAAAGGACCCTGCTCTCCTTCCCTAAAGTGGAGTTCTGAAACTTACGTTTTCCCAAACCAGAGGAAAATTGTTGCACCCTTTAAAAGAAGTGAGTGGAACATCACAGGCGCCTGATATTTTTTTCTTTTTGTCTTCCAGTCATTTTAATTTAGGAGTTTTTCTCGAACCAGAAAGCTTCATTTATTGGACACAGAATTACCTGAGCTTTGGTACTTTCTAGCCCCCATCTCCTGCTCACAGGAGCAGCAGGATGACCGTGGGGAGCCAAGACTTCAGGTGGGATTTCAGGGGCTCTAGGGATCATCAGCAGTGCCAGATTTGCAGGCTCTAGCAATAGAAAAAAACCATAAGAAGTGCCAATTTGCCAAAGAAAATCGTTCTGCGGTTGGAGGGATCCCTTCAAACGGCTATTACTGTATTTATACGGGACCCGGCTGTCAAAATTTTGCCTCTTTTGTGTTTTTTCTTTCTCGCCAGGTGTCTCCTTGCCGGGGCGGGGGGCACCCTGCTGTGCCAGCCCTGGCAGGGGGCTGGTGTCGGCGGGGAAAGCCCCCGGCGCTGGCACCTGCCTGCTGTTGGAACTAGTTGGAAGGTGGTGCCTGGGTGTTAGTCATTATGGAGAGCGGAAGACGACTTGAGTCGGCAACAGTTAACGCTAGCGATCGAACAGAAAAATAAAAAGGTGCCGTATTGTTTCCTCGATAACTAGGATCTACCACAGACTCTCGGGTAGAGCTGGCAAAGCTTGCTTTGTGTCTCATCCCTTCAATATGGAGCAAACTTCTGGCGGTCAGATTTCTTAACCCCGCTCGTCGAAGGAATTTTGGCAGTGTAAGCAGACAAACTCCCCGTGGCCCCCGCGGCGGCCGCGGCATTTAGTGCCAGGAGTGGGACAGTTTTCATGCCAAGCAGACTGGAGACAGGAACGGCATAGTGGGTGGTTGGCAGAGTTGGTAGGGGAGGGGGGGTACTGACGGTAACGGCGGAGGCGGCCGCCAGCACGGCCATGGAGGTGGGGGTGGAGGTAGGGGTGGCGGACTGAGAGAGGTTCATGTTGAGGTCAACAGGGGTCGTGACGGAAGCGGTCTGGGTGCTGACTTTAGCCATCTCTAAGCTGCAAACGAAGAGAGGAAGAGGAACAAACAGGTTGGGAGGGTCCAGCCAGGGTGGTGGGGCCAGGAGGAGGAGGAGGAGGAGAAGGAGGAAGGGAGGGAAGGAGGGACAGCAACCACGAAAGGGCAGGATTAGATCGGTGGACGAGGGGGGACAGACGAGAGGGAGGGAGAGGGGGGAGAGAGAGAGAAAAAAAGGGAAAATGAGGGTCAAAGGAGGAACATGTTATGTGTTAAAGAAGAGAAATAACAAAAGGGTTTTTCATGATCTGATGGCGAAAACGTTACTGAGACTCTAAAGTTCTTTCCAAAAAGAAGAAAAAAACCAAACAAAATAAAACAAAAAAAGAGGTCAGGGAGGGGAGGGGTGTTTGCTAGTTCGTTTTACGTATGAAAAAAGAAATCTAAGGAATGCAGGTAATGGCAAAAAGATGGAAAAAACAAAACTTAAATGAAAACTTAAAATAACTATGAAGTTTACTCCCCAGCACTGATAGGGTGAATTTCGCTTTTCAAAATTATGGTATTTTTGAAAGGGGGACGCGGGGGGTTTTGGTAATTTTTTCAATTTGTCAATTTTGTGACATAAATAGTACCCTTTGTCGTTTTGCTAGGATGAGAGGAGAACGAGCAATGATTTGCTGCTTCCGTCTAAGGCATAAAGTTTTGGTTTGGTTTTCATTTTAGAAAGTCAGTTTTTCATTTCACTCACTGCGAGGTCAATGTGCATTTTTCATATAAAACAACCCTGATTAGCCAGTGTGTTCGCTTCGGTTTGTACTTTCCCCAGACTTTTTTTTTTTTTTTTTTTAAATCACAACAAAATATTTATGCAATCTAATTATAAGGAAATTAAGGAAGACCGAAAAACACCCCGGCTTCCACAGCAGCGATATCCTTTCTGAGCATATGGCAGTGGTTACAGCGAACATAAGAGCTTACCAGCTGACAGACAAGGTACTACATGGATACAACATACACATCATCAGACGGACCCCGCCAGCACAAGGAAGTTCAGATCGACCCAACCTCCGAGCCCAAGTCAGCAATGGGCCCTCTGGAGGATGTAGGTATCAAACCACCTTCACTTTAGTCTAATTCCACCCAACAGCAAGCAAGACGAGTTTGGCCCATGTACTTAGGCTTTTCTGTACATTTTTAGACATTAAAATACAGTAATTCCAAGGACGCGTTTTTTTTTTCAGATAACAAAATGTTTACCTAGGTAAATCCTCCCTTTGCCATGCATTTCTTGAAGCTTGTGCACTGGTTCTTGGGTCGGCAAACGACCTAAATACTACTTTCAGGATGCGTTTTGCATGTGACCAGCCAGGAGGTATCATGGCATAGCATATCAGTAGGACTATTGGTTAGAAAATCTTTGCTAGCTACAGTTATATGTGTATTAATTCCAAGTTTGTGGTTTTTTTTCAGTAATTACTAACTTGTCAGGCTCCTGGGCTTTCTCCTGAGGTGAGCTGAGGAGCTACAGCAGCTTCTCCCTCCCAGAGCGGAGCTACCATGAGGAGAGCCCCAGTGGCTGGCCAGCTGTGCAGAGGACCTGCATGGCGGAGGACCTGCCGCTTTCTTATCAAGTCCCATCAGGCCTGGGGGAAGCTTCCCAGCACACAATTTGGGCTGGACCCCTTGGCACTCAGGGCTGGGTGTGCAGGGTTAGAGAGCAGCTGTAGCCAGGCCACATTTTGGGAGGGAAGTGCAGTTGTCCTACTCCAGACTTGGGAGAGCCTCACTTTTCCTCCCCTTAGGCTTACGTGTGGTTTTGAGAACAACAGCCCCTGGACAGAGAAGGGCAACGAGGAGAAGGCCTGCCCGCTTTGCGCAAGGGCAAGGATGGAAACGATGGACCAGCACTATGTCAGGGATGGGGACGTTGGACTAAAGCTTCCCAAAGCACTGCTGCTGAAGGTGGGTCTAACAGATACCTGAAGTGAGTCTGAGCTGAGGTGAGGAGTGTGGAGGAGAGAGGGAAACACTCAAGCATCTAGCTCCTCTCTTCCCTGAAAAAGGAAGAGGGGCTCTTGGAGTATTAGCTCCTTGGTGGCTTTTCCTGGGAAACTGGGAGGCGCATGGCTTCCCTAATGGACTGGGAGGGGAGGAGGATGAGTGGATGAAATGCAGACCCGTTTGTGGGTGGTAAAGCTTTGGTTTTCCTACCCCGTGGTACTTATCTGTCCCTGTGGTTGAGCATCTCAGAATTTTTCTAACCTTTGCAGCAGAGTTGTTCTTTGCAGAGAGAACATTCTTGTGCTGTTGGCTGTGCTGCCTGCAATCTACTCACGCGGTGGGGATTTACATCAAAAATACTGAATCAGTGAGTCCAACCCCAGTGCACATCCTCAACTTGGGGTGTAGGAGTTACATGGTGATAGCTGAGTAGACCTTAAAGATTCAGTTTACACAGTTGGATTTTTTTGTATTTCTAACTCAGTATTACAGAAAGATAATGCAGGACCCAGTCTTTCAGTGACTCCAAATTTGTCTACCTTGCATTTAACAAAACAAAAAGAAATCCTTATTGATATGGGAACTATTTGAGCCCGAGCTTTTTCCTGCACCAGGAGGGAGAACATATCCCACAGGCTAAATGCTGGTGTTGGTAGCTGTCACTCATACTCCCTGTCTCTGGTGTACTCACACAGGTACAATCAAAGCTCTAATCTCCCCTGCTTCACGTTTATTACTGGTGGTAACGTGTAAGGCGAAAGTACGTCAGGTTAGCTATCAGCTGTCCTGTGACAGCGGCCGCTTCCCAAACTTGTTAAAGATGCAACAAAATTGAACATGAAAGCAGATGAGGCAGCCTTCATACAGAATTTCATGGTGCCAATTTTACACTGTCCCATTGAAGAACTACACTTTATGGTTATACACACTGAAGGCCACATCCTGCGTTACCCGAAACTGGCGAAAGGAATAAAGCTCGAGTGTGGCTTTGGGGGCTCTGTTAGCTGTGTGAATGAACCTCTCATCAAAATGGCAGTAAAAATATATTTAGGAAATTGCTCTTCAACAAGGAGAAAGTGCTGCTGGCTACAGTTCATTTGTAATCCAAAGTCAAATATTACACAGGAAACCTAAACTGCGGTTCACTCTTAATAAAAGCTAGAAGATGGGATTGGATAATGAAAATCCAGTTGCTACAACAAAGATCAGTTAAGAGACAGAAGATTTTACAGGAAAAAAAGACACTTCTACTGCAAACAAGCTGGACACGTTGTACTTGTACAGAGGTCAGCGCTCAGGTAATCAATACAGAATTAAAACAATACTTTAGGAAGTTTTAAATCTCTGTCTTGATATTGTATCAATGTATTTATATAGCTATAATTGAGAGTATATTACGTACATATTCAACACCAGGTTGCAATAAAAGTCTTGAAACAACTTGATAAATTATTCTATAGATGGCAACTTTGGTTGGAGGATAGATTAAAGATATATACAGATTGTTTCAAGAATACAGTGGATAGATTTTTTTTTTGTTCTTACAACCTATGCTGCTGTGAGACACTGATTTATGCAGAAATACTGGCCCTGGAAACCCAATCCGCAAGAATGACAGATCTTGTGGGAGAGAGGGGAAAAAAAAAAAGTCCACCTTACCCTGAATGCTTATATGGCTTTTATTTACTATAATTATTATTTTGACATACCGATTATACATTGGGCAGTCTAGGTACTGTACTCAGCTCTTCCCCAACACTGTTTCTTTCATGCCAACATCCTCAAAAGAAGTCAGCAGTACTTGTGACAGGTTTAGAACTGCCAAACACTGAAATTGGCTCCCATGGTGCAGAGGCAACAGCAGCCGAGATCTGCCTCTCAAAAACCTGCCCAAGCACCTAAACCCCAGCTAGAGCAGATCTCCGTCTTGCCTGAAAGTTTCTCGGTTCTTCCTCCAGTGCAACTGCGAACTCGCAGTGCTGCTGTGGTGGCACCTAACTGAACAGGAGTTTCTCTTGGGAAAAGAGAAATCGGAACAGCATCACTTCTTAAAATGAAAAAGCCGCCTTCATGTCCTATGTTACCTTAGAGCTTAATTTATTATACATTACTTTAAGAGTCTTCATTTACAAATGAAGTCACTTCATCTAAATACAGTTTCAACACATGGTACATAATAATATATGATCATTTATTGTAGATGATGATAACAAATGACCTCTATCTAGAAAGTCAACAGGAAGAAAATGTTTTGTTTCTGGTTTCACAGGATATAGAGAGAGTATCCATGGTATATGACTGCTGAGAAGTTTTCTTCTTTGCAAAAGTATGTTAAAAGACCTCATATGTAGCCCATTCCATGAAAAGAACCGTTAAATAGTATTGAACAGAAGTGTGAGAGTTCACAGGCTTTTCTAAAGTGAGTCAAACAGAGGTTTGTTCACTAGAGTTTCTGTCTCTGGTGAGCCGCTCACTGCAACTCCGTTAATAAGTGCATTATTTTATTTGCATGCTTTAGCTGTCTTGAAGATCTTAAATTGTTATCTTCTGAGATCCAGATGCATGCCATATGGTGTTTGTGCAACTAAAAATGAAGGGGTCTATTCTCGTCTCGATGTGTGGGGAATCCCTGAACACCAAGAGAAGAACATATCCTTAAGGGTTAAAGGAGGGAACACATTTTTATTTGATTACAGGGCTTACGGAAGTGACTTATATTTGCTACAAAGAATACAAATCAAAAGATCTGTAGGTTGTTTTAGGATTCTGGAAACAGCTTATCTTAGGCTTCACAGTGCCACCCCTCAATATACCTTTCCCTAGGAAACTACTTTCAAACTGAATTAGAAAAAGTAGTATTTTTGTTTGCTGTAACACGAGAGCTGCACAAACATCCTTTTCCTCCATTAAGACATTTACGGTGGCTTGCAGTGGTGCACTACAGAACTGAGCTGGAGAGGAGGTTCAACCATAGGAGACTGTAGATCTGCTATGACTACAGCCCCCCCAGACCGTCCTCCCCCTCCCCCCCAAATCACATACATACTTTCTACTACCTTAACAGCAAACATAGTTAAACGCAAAGCTTGATTCGTATCACAGTATTTTGCGGGGTGCAGGAAGAAAAGGAAAAAACCCACCCTGATAAAATACATAGATACTCCCTCGCAATATATTGCCTTAGTCTACCATTTACAAGTAGATCTATGAGACAGCACTATATCCATTGCACTATCTTCTCAGGATAATTGCAAATAAAGGTGGCAATGATTTTAATATTTTTCTAAATAATCACATCAAAGCTGATAGAGACTTAAGCCGTCACAGCTTAGCTGAACAGCCAGTGCGTTCATTAATTCTGGCACCAAGAAGCAGAGAAAGAGATAGTTTCACCCCGTCTCATTAGGGAATGCTTTTTACAAATTTGTGATGCTGTCTCTGAAAAAATAAATCCTGCGCCTCTTTAGTAAGCAAATGTCAGTTTAATATCAACTCTGAGTGGCAATTTCCAGTTAGTAAATTAAATCTGTTCTGCAATCTGTTTCACTATATTTGCCATTTAGGACAGTAAAACAGGTCTGTGAAAAGTATTTTCTTCTAAAGAATTTATGATTGTCATTTAATTTATCCACCCATATTTTAGGCGCATGCCAATGTGAGTATTCAGACTTTTTCCGTTTTTGTCATTCAACATGTACCTGCAATCGCACCACATGAAGCTGCTTTCCATATAAACCAACAGTAAACGCAAGTTCTAATGATACGAGCTTTACAAATCATTAGGAATTGAAGAATACTGTGCAAAATGGACACTGCAAAGCAACTTTCTGGATCTATCCCGGACAGACATTTTGCCAGAGAACAGGCAAAGCAATCTCGCAGAAGCATTATCACTTACAAAGCAAACTTACCTTGCATTAATGAGGTACTGTGCTAAGCTGATGTTTGCAGGGGATCCTGTGATTGTAACTTGTCGTTCTGCGGAGCCTTCTGTGGCATTAGCAATCTTGATCTGCGCTCCTGACATCTGCCTGATTTCATTTATCTTACTGCCTTGTCTGCCAATAATGCAGCCTATTAACTGGAGCGGGACAAAGACTGAGATTAGTGCCACAGACACAAGCAAAAACCACTTAACTGCAATTTGTAGTATTGATAAAAACACGGTTATGAAAGACTCGATATCAAACCAAAAGATTTTTGCTGTGCTGTCTGGAAGGAGTAACTCGCACGGTCTCTTGGCTCTACGGGCATACGTCTCTCAATCAAATGTCACTGCTATGTGGTTATCAACTCAATATCAGGTTATTTAGCTGTCTTCCATGGCAGCAGATGACAGCATGCCGTGGTGCTGACGAACACAAACACAGCCCAGCCGAGCTTGCCAGGGGCAG